TTACGCAGTCCGTTGTCATTTTCCATTCCGTTCCGATTTGGCACTGAGAATGTTTGCATTGGTGACAAGACCACTGGAGGGCCCGCCGGTGCCAAAGCAAACGCCTGGCCTTTCAGACTCCTGTTTAAACCAACAGCGTCTCGTCTCTGCGCCAGCTGGGCTCTCCAGCTGAGGGGGGACCGTTGAAGCCCAGGAAGGAAGATGAAGCAGGCGGCGAGGGGGGGGGAGCCCTTGTTTCCCTTCAGCCAAAAATAAAATGGCAGACGGAATAAAAGCTGCAACCAGAACGATGAGGAGTTGAGCATTCTCTTGCTCGGGGAGGGGAGGGGGGATTCATGGCCACAGGAGAGGGGTTCCTCTCCCCCACTCTCCCAGGAAAGAGCCTGCCTGCAAATGGATGTTGTTGAAGAGCTCAGATTGTTCTAGGATTACTTGAAATGCAGATTCAGGCGCCTATTTTGGTCCCCGGTTTGCAGATGGGTGGCTCAAGTGGTTAAGACGCTGAACTGCAGGCTGTGGAAGGTCGGTAGTTCAGCAGTTCGAGACCCGAGTGTGCCGCATGACGGAGTGAGCTCCCGTTTCTAGTTCCAGCTCCTGCCAACCTAGCAGTTCGAAAGCAAGAAATTGCAAGTAGATAAATAGGTACCGCTTCGGTGGGAAGGTGACAGCGTTCTGTGCGCCTTGGTGTTTAGTCATGCCGGCCACATGACCACGGAAACGTCTTCGGACAGCGCTGGCTCTTCGGCTTTGAAACGGAGATGAGCACCGCAATCCTAGAGTCGGATTCGACTGGCTTTCGAGCAAGGGAACCTTTACCTTTTTTTGCAGACAACCCAGCCTCCACCCCCAAAAAAAGGTTGGGAAAAGGGGGTGGCGTCCAGCTCCCATAACCCTTTTAGCTAACACACTGCCATCTTGGGGCTCAGGAATCCGAAACTGCCTCAAGCAACTGCCTGTTCAGCATTTCCTGCAAAACCCCCTCCTTCGAGTAACTGGAAGAAGGTGACTCCATACATTGGGCCCATGAGATCTGTTATTTCCCCAGCCAGGCAGAGCCGCAGTAACTTATCATTTAGTAAAACATTTCTATGCCATCTTTCGTTACGGTTCAAGGCAGGCAGCTTACAGCAAAAGTTTAAAATCATCCCCAGCTAAAAATGAGAATAAAATCTCAAGCTTCATATTACTTTCCCCGTAAAAGATGCCTGGCATTCAGACCCCCTCCAAAGCCCTGACAGACAGGCAGGCTTTGCAGAGCCTCCTGAAATAAAAGGGGGTCCGACCCCAGCCTCCTCTCTCTTGCCTTGAATTTCCACCTGAGCCTCTCTCTCTCTCATAGAAAGAGGGGCTTTGTGTTGGGTCGACATCATCTTGGCAGTGAGTGGACAGCTACTGCATTTTCCCTGAACCTTGACTGAACGCAGACTGAGTCCCAGCCAGAACTGACCCACGAATTATTTTTTTGACTTTCCCATAACGTTGCTCAGGAGTTTGGCATGTTGCGTTGTCAAGCCCAGGGTCTGACCCCCCCCCCCGCTTCCTGTCCCTGCAGGAAACTCTTCCAGCCGCAGAATCCCAGCTGTGCCCCGGAGAACCCTGCTCTGAGTCCCCCGAAAGACAGTGCGAGTTTATCCTCTTCCCCTCCCCAGGTAAGCTGCGGTGGCTCAGCCCCTCCGTATGAGCCATGGCGGGAGTTCTAGATGTGCAGGGGTTTGGGGGATCGTGTTCCTCGGGGGGGAGGGGGGGAGCAGCGGCCGATCAACCTGGCTTTTAACAGAGACCGTTTTCATTCACCGCATGCTTCCAGCTTAGAGACGGCATTGCAGTGGAGGGTGGGAGCCAAATCAGAATCTTGGCTACCTCTGGTGGCTTCCGGCCAGCTGTGGTTCTCTGGGCCCTTAGTCTCCGTCCTCCTCCGGCTCTCCTCAGCTGTCAGAGTTGAGATTCGAGGCTCCTTGGGGTGGGTGTCTTGTTGTGTTTTGACGGAGCCAGGTATTTCAACTCCACTTCAGAGAGCCGATGTGGTAAAGAGCAGCAGACTCTCGTCCGGAGAGAACCGGGTTTGATCCCCCACTCCTCCCCATGAAGCCAGCTGGGTGACCTCGGGCCAGTCCCAGTTCTCCCCGAACCCTCTCAGCCCCACCTGCCTCACCAGGCGCCTGCTGTGGGGAGTGGAAGGGCAAGGCGACCGTAAGCCGCTTTGAGACTCCTCAGGGTATAAAAAGTGGGGTATCAAAACCAACTCTTTCTCTTCTTCCTTCACGAGTTGGTACTTGTGCCCACGAATGGCCCTTGCAGCAAAGCTGTCCCGTCAAGGGAACGAGAGAGACTTTGTCAGCGGGGAGCTTTGACTGCCAACAACTCCCACCCCAAAAATCATGTCGGTTCCTGAGGCGCTGCTGGACTTGGATCTGCTCTATCTTCTACATGACAGCCCTTCAGACGAAGCAGCTGCATGCAGATGCATAGAGGCACGGCTGCAATGCACACAGATGAACATCGGTTTGGTCATCCTCCCGTCTTGTACAAGCAGACTGCAGCCAGCAAACTGCAAATTGTATTCTCTCTTTGCAGCCCGGCACACGTTTTCCTCAGGTCCTAAACCAGTGCCGCAAATTGCCATGTGTTTGAATGAGATGACAAAAATGAGGCAGGGTTTGAAAGACCCTGCTCATCCATTCCACTAATGACGGCACTTCCCCCGTGCTCAAAGGTGGGCTGCTCAGAGGGCCGTGGCAACAGAGGACGGTTTCTGCCGCGGAGGGAAGGACTGCCACCAGCATATCTGTGGGAACCAGCTCCGTTGAATCGAGCATGGGATGTCAGACCGGGGGAGACCTCTGTTCAGGTCCACACCCTTGGCCTGATGTACCCTGCGGGGTCGTTGCAAGAAGCGGGGGAAATGGGGGGGCATCTTTGGAGGAAGGGCAGGATAGAAGTCTAATTAAAAACAAACATAACACAGCAGCATGAGTGGCCCCAATCTCCCTCTCTGGAGGCGCAGCAGAGATGGTAGAGTGCCACGTTCGGTGATCCTTGGCCTCTGCAAGAAGGCTGCCTAAATGGAAAGAAGAAGAAGAGAAGAGATTGGATTTATACCCCGCCCTTCACTACCCAAAGGTGTCTCAGAGCGGCTTACAAACTCCTTTTCCCTTCCCCTCCCCACAACAGACACCCTGTGAGATAGGTGGGGCTGAGAGAGCTCTGACAGAAACAGCTCTGACAGAACTATGGCTTGCCCAAGGTCATCCAGCCAGGTGCAAGTGGAGGAGTGGGGAATCAATTCCGGTTCTCCCAGATTAGAGTCCACACACCTAACCACTACACCTAACCACTACACCACAGAGAGCCTCCGGGCCCTGATCCGGATCTGTCTCTCAGCCGTCCTGCTTGTGCCCATGGCCTGGCATTGCCTTCTAGGTGCTGGGCTGACTTCTGACCGTCTTGTCTCAGTGCTCCCCTTTTTAATCTCCGTTTGTCTGGAACAAAATTTGAGTCCAGCAGCACCTTAAAAGACCAACAGAACTTTCCAGGGTATAAGCGGTCAGGAGCCAAAGCTCCCTTGGGGAGGGGCCGTGGCTGAGTGGTAGAGCATCTGCTTTGCAGGTAGAAGGTCCCAGGTTTGATCCCTGGCGGCATCTCCAGTTGAAAGGATCAGGTCGTAGGTGATGGGAAAGACCCCCCGCTTGAGACCCTGGAGAACTGCTGCCAGTCTTAAGTAGACAATACTGAGCTTGATGGGCCAAGGGGGGTTGGGGGGGGTCTGATGCAGGGTGAAGGCACCTTGATGTTTGTTTGTCGGTTCTCAGTGCTTGTTTCTGTCACCTTCCCCCAGAAACGGTCTCAGCCGTCAGAATTCATCGACCCGCTCGCCAACAAAAAGCCAAGGATCTCTCACTTTACCCAAAGGACTCCCCCCGTTTTCAACGGCAAGCTGAACTCCGCCAACGGGAAGGAGCCCTCTTTGCCCACGGCGGTGGATTCGGTCAGCTCCAGTTCCCTCTTGCCACCCCTGGAGCCGCCGAGGCCACACGACCCCCTGGCCGACATCGGCAATGGTGTGAGCCACAATGGCAAAGACTTTGAGGCGCCAGAGCCAGCCGAGAGGCTAGCGGCGACTCGGCCAGCTACAGACTACGCCCAGGCGAGCCGGCACAGCTCCGGCTTGCATTCGAAAACCAAGAAGAAGCTCAAGAAGCACAGGGAGAGGAAGGAGGAGGAGGAGCAGGCCCGAGGGAAGCCGCCTGGCAGCGCTCTCAAGAAGGAGGGGGTGGAAATGGGTTCCTCGCAAGACGCGGCAGGTGGGCCATGGCTTGTCTGGTCCCCAAAGGGAGGGGTGGGGAGGGAGATGCAGATGGGCGTCATCTGCTGCCTTGTCCAAATCCTCGGCCCAGAACTGGGACTCGCTGTCAGGAGCTGTGTTTGGCTATATGGGGTTGGTTTCCTACCTGTTGGGCAATCCTTGGGGTTCCTCTCAGGGGAGGGACTGGGGCTCAGTGGCAGAGCCTCGGCTTGGCATGCAGATGGTCCCAGGTTCAACCCCTGGCAGCTCCAGTTAAAATGGACAGGTGGGAGGTGATGTGGAAGACCTCTGTCTGCCTGAAACTCTGGAGAGCTGCTGCCAGTCAGCAGGGACCTTGATGGACCAAAGATTTGATTCGGTGTAAGGCAGCTCTGTGTGTGTGTCCTCCAGAAAAATCGCTGCTAGCAGGCAGGCAAGTTCTAAGCTTCTCGCGAGGTGGCCGGTCAGTCCTCTGCTGCCTGCCCCCCGGTGATGTGCAAACCACAGGGGAATGCCCTGAGTGAGTGTTCCGTACACCCGGAGCAGTGTTGTGAGGCCCAGCAGTCATTCACTGAGTGGATGGTCACAGTCAGGCACCCTAGGCCAAGTGCACGGGGTTTCCATGCTGCATGTTTCTCCTCTGGTGCTCTAGAAGGTTGCTTGAAAGGTGTGGGGCCTGGTCCAGAGAAGAAAGCCAAAGGGCAGACACGTTTGGACCCCCATGCAGTTGGAGGGTGGGAGTGACATGTGCCTGTGGGCTTGCCGTGGGTGGAATGTGTTGATGTGAGACCGCGTGGCCCTGCATTGCTTCGGGCTTCTGCACATCCCAGTGCCACCACCTGTCCAGAGAGACCAGACTGGACCCGAAGACCCTGCACAAGGCTGAGGACTAAGCCGGGGCCCCACTGCTGAGTGACAGAGCACGGCAGAGCTCCTTGGTTGCTGCAGCCACATCATGTTGAAACAGTTCCTCCGCTACGGCCCTCTTCCACACAGCCAGCAGCATGCCGTATATTCTGTTTGTGGTTAACACCCAACCCTGCAGAAAGCTCTCCAGCAAACTTGGGAGCCGGCTTAGTAGCTGGCAATGGCGTTGCTGCTGCCTGACCCACCTTTTCTCATGAGTGTGCACTTTTTTTTAAAAAAAAATCTTTGCGGCCTTCACAGCTCCCCTGCAAAATATGTTGCCCAATAAGATGTGCTTCCTAAGCGTGGCCAGTAGATGGTAGTCAAGAGCCAGCCAGTGCATCACTTCCTGTCTCTCTGGCTTCCTCTCTCTTCTATCCCTTTAGAAATCTTCCCTGGGAGAAATCAGCTGTTTGCCATCCCTCCCAAAACAAAACTCAACTGCCCAAAGCCAGAACTGTAGGAAAGCCCTTTAACTCCACAGTGGATGTAGGCCCTGTGTTCTGCTGTGACTTGGTCCCTGCAAAGGGCAGCAAGGTTCCCTCTGATTTTTCTCTCTCTGCTGAGCAGAGCAGTTGACAACCTGAGCAGAAGTTAAGTGCTGTAACCTTCAGATGGGCCGGGGACAGTGCTAGACCCTCCGCGGCTCCAGATGGCTGCTGAGCGGGGCTTCCTGCATCAGTGAGCAGCCTGAGAGGGGAACCCTGAAGGGCAGTCTTTAGAATTGGGGGGAAATCTACGAGGTGATCGGTTGATTCGCTGCAAAACGCAGCCCAGTTTTTCCACTGAGTGCACTAAAATCCAAAACGAAAGCACACACGGAACTTTTAGGCGTCTTCAGCAATGAGTTTAGACAGGGATCATTTTGTAGAAAAAGAGGTGCAGGAGCTCATTAGCATAACTGATTTGCATGTGCCACACCCCCTGACATCACCAGAAGTGTGCCAGAAGGCAACACCCACCACTCAGGCTCCACTGGACTGTTTTGGATTGCTAGCTATTTGGGGGGGGGGGATGTGCAGATCTGTCCTCACAGAGGAGGGAGAGCTTGTACCTGAATAAAACTTAGTCTTAAAGGTGCCACTGGACTGTTTTGGACCGGGGGGGCTCTGCAACTTACCTGGCTAACTTACCTGGCTGCTTCTTGCTCTGACTGAGGGCTGCTGGGAGCAGGGGGTGGGGCTTGTTGCATGTGCCCGCCCCCTGGGCTCTTTACTGCCGGAGCTCCACTCCTGTGCGCTCCTGCAGGAAATGACCCCTGAGTTTAGACCCATGGCTCATCTCCAGCACTGAAACTGGCTTTTGGCTGTAAGCGAACAGGCCTGGTGCTCGCACCCTCTCTGAGCCCAGAACGACTCCTGCTTCTGTGCAAGCCACCGTGTACTAGTACTGTGCTGACCTCCTGTCTGCTGTGTCTTTACCCAGCTCCCGCCAAGGGCCTTCTGCTTCCCAGTCTACCTTGACGGGGCTGCCAGGGTTAGCAGCAAGAGGCGGCCACCGCACTGCAGACGAGAAACTCCCTCCTAGCTTCCAGCTGGGCCGGAGGCAACTCTCGGCTCCCCTGCACCATGCTCGGGTGCAATCCATCCCCGAAGCTCATTCTCTCCCCCACCCCACCCCCCTTTGCCTCCCAATGTTATCATTTGCACCAGCTGAGCTGATTGACTAGTTAGGGCTCCCACAGTCCACTCATATTTCCGGCAGGCTGAAAACATGCCTTGAATACGGGAAAAGGGGAGCAATATGGGCATGAGGCTCTCTCGGAGGGGTGGGGGATTGTGGTGCTGAGATCCCTGCCTTTGCTTCAGGGGATCTTGAGGCTGCTGTAAGGGTCGATGAAGTTGTAAGTGACTTCATCGAAGCCTTTTGAATGGCTTGTGGGAAAGATGCTCTTCAGTGGAGAAGCTCTTGGGATTTTAGTAGCTTGACCCGCAGCCTTTGAGCACCCTCAGCTCTGCGGTTTGTGCTCCCGGGGAGCTTGGGGGGGGCTGCAGACCACAGGGACTCGCGACAGCCCCGTCCAAGCATCACACCCTGTGGTGACTTCAGGCCTCCGGTGGAACTGCCTCATTTGGCGGGGGGGGGGGCTGCAGACCACAGGGACTCACGACAGCCCCGTCAAGCATCACACCCTGTGGTGGTAACTTCAGGCCTCCGGTGGAACTGCTTTGTTCTTAATGTACGAACAGGGCCATTAGCATGAATAGTGTCGTGCTGCATTAGCATTTGTGTTCCACTGATGCCTTTCAGGACAGGCTTCCTGCATGCCAAGATTTCCTCTTTGGGGACGTGTTCCAGTAGCCTCTCCAGGTGCCAGTCCTCAGTGCGGACTTCAGTCAGCTGGCCCTCTGTGGCCTCAGATCCCCTATTCCGGAGTGAAATGATTTCACAATACGGCGCTGGGCGTACGAAGAGTCCTCTTGAGAAACTGACCGTTGGTTTTCTTCCCCCTCCCCATTTCTCAGGTTTGAACGGGGCCTGTAACAGCTGCAGTGTTCCGACGTCCACCTCAGAGATGCCGGATTATTTGCTGTGAGTCTCAGGGGCTGCCCTGCCTTGGCTTTGGGGGGCTCGGTTTGCCCCGTTCTCGTGGAACTCACGTTAAAGTCAAGCTTGGCCGCCTGAGGGAGTCTGTGGCTCGGCTCGTGGGTGGGGATGAGCGAGCGTTTAAAATCTTATTCTGAAATCTTTTCTGCTCTTGCCACTGCAGCAAATACGCCGCCATCTCCAG